GGAAGAAAGTCCGAGGAAACAGACGTCATTCAAATGAAAGTTATGGATGCCAGTTCTTATCATCCCAAAACTATACTGCCATAACAAAATCTCAGATTTGGGCCGACGTTACTATAATCGATTTTAGTTTTTTAGTGAAAAGGCTTGCGTTAAATCTTTTCAAATCATATCCCCTCATGGTGGTTTTTTCGTTCAACCCCGCACACATTAACATATATACTCGAGGGTGTTTTTATTTTGGCCGACTCATTTTCGGTCGTGGTGAGGAACTATATTGTACGTGAGGAAAGTCGAGTTTCATAACTGTTTGAAATTACTTGTTGAAAGGGATTTTCCTACAAAAAAACTTTGGGTTGTAGGTTGTATCACATGGTAAACCTGTAGAAGTAGCTGATAATAATGATATCAAAGACGAAAGATAAAATCATACTTCGATCTCCGAGCTCACTGCAACGAAATAAGGTGCCAAACAAGCTTGAAATCGGAACGAGAGTACAATAGCTAGCTCTTTTCTGTGAGAAAAGTTTTGAAATAAGCGTGTGTTTAAATTCGTGGAGAAGGGGGATGACGCTTACACTCAGAATGAATCTATGTTGGCGGGTTTTGGGGATTATTTTCATGGGGTTAGGGTGGGTATTATCAGGTTTGACGATAATTTTGTTACAGGGTAATAACCAAAGCATTCTCCTCCCGAAGTTCTTGATTCTCGGACTTCCCTTTAAATTTGATTGGCTGAGATCACCCTCGTACCCAGCGTCTTCGTTCCCTTTGACCAGCGGTCGGGAATTCGAACAGCATGCGCAGTAAGCAACGAAGACTCGAAGTACGAGATTGGGCTTAGATTACAAAACGAGTACTCTACGCATGCACAAACATTCAGATCGGACAAGAGGTCGCGTATTCACTGCTGACCAAAAGGATCGCGGCCTAAAAGGACGAGAAAGTAACCAAACCCCAACCAAAGCCAGTTTATACTTCAAAGTCATTTATTAAAAAATAATCTTTCGAGGAATATTTCAGTTACCACAACGCAAAATCTATCGTACACAAGTGAAATATATTACCTCTGAGAATCGAATTTACCCACTGATTCTCTGTCAATGACCTGTGAACCCGCGGTTTTTGTGCCCGCTCCGTCACTTGTAACTGGGATCCAGTTGAATTTGATTGCAGAAACATAACTCCACGAAAATGTATTTATATTACGAGTCGATATGACTAAACGAAATTCTTTTGGCCTAGAACCGTTTTACAAACTTTCAAATGGCAGAGGGTGAAACGGGGTGACGTCATCAGCTTGGAAAGTTCGGTTGGGTGAGAGAAGCACGTTGGACTAAAGCTAGACCACAGGAGCTTCAAACTTATTTTACCACTCAGTGAACATAGCTCAAATGCACTATACTTAGCAATCTATTTCATTACTTCTTCACGCATATTCTTGGGCAAAATATTAGCTAGTCTCTGCTATAGGGCTACCCTTAATTTCCTCTCTCTCTGGGAAAGATTTGTTCCGGCTGTGATGCATGAAGTCAAGGAATTTTTGCTTCCATAGTGTAAACCGCTGGACAAGTCACATGAAGGAAGTAAGACACGATCATTGCGCTTCTCATGAGCTGGTTACAAACACAAGTAACTGAGATATGACTTTCCTCAGCCAGTGATAGATGCTTCAGCAAGAAGTTTTTCAATAACGTTCCATGTTTTCCTTTGAGGTCCATTTACACTGAATTTAGGTCAGCTCGAGCAACAATTTCAACCGAGTGCAGAGTAGTGCCACACATCCTATATGGAACTGATAAATGAACAGTTGGAGTAAATTCCTTTACAGACTGTCAACTATTTGTTGCTGCGAACTTGTAAAAGAGAGGCGACCCCGGCCTGTAGCTTGCCTTTAGAAGACAGGACACTGACATCGACACACCATACAAACAATGACGCCTTCTCCTCTTCCGATATTTACCGGATATTTTTCTTTCAGATAAAATTGCTCAGAGCATTAAGAAAGTCCGTCAAACACACGATCATCTGCCCAAAACCTGGCCGCTCGTCTTCAGACAGAGCCCAGCAACAGGCAATGACAGTGAAGAGTTCATCAGGACAGTTGACGGGCTGGGAAATTCTGTGTCCTTGTTTGAGGAAGTTCAGCATCTCGAAAGCGTCGATGTTTCCATAAGGCTGTTGTCCCAGAGTCATCAGCTCCCACAGAGTGACACCATAGGCCCACTTTGAAGGAAGAGCGCATAAACAGACAGGGAAAAAGAGGAAAAGAAAAAGAAAAACTATTAATTGCTAGCCTCAAAGAGAAAACAGCTTAAGGCAATACATACCCTCTCCCTCAATCTTTAGCACTGCTTCTCCCCCCCTCCCCCCCCAGAAACGAGATACAACTATTACACTACAAAAAAAACCTCTCTATTCTCTAAGAGTGACGAGCAATAATCTCAGTAAAATGGAAAGGAGAATACGGGTGCACAAGCACAAAAACTGAAGTGATCGCGCGCATCTCGATCACAGCTTTTACGCAGCCAGTTTTATTTTTCTCTACTCAGCGCTTTTTGTTGGTTTCGCCTGCAAAAGACCGTGGTTCCACAGGTCAGCTCTCCTGTCCATTTCTTAGACAAACTTGAGATGCGGTTGCTTTTACTTATCAGAAGAAGAAAGACGAACGAAATAAGCACAATGGTATAATTTATATCTAAATACTGTTATGAACAAATCTTTCTGGAGTACTTTACTTTGCGTGACTTTAACGATCAATCTTTTAGGCCCCATCCACACTACGCCGGAGAAATTTGAAAACGCAGCTTTATTTCAATGGTTACGCCTACCATCTACACTAATCCGTCAAGAAAACGGAGCTTTTCGAAAAAGCTTTTCAAGCTGGAGGAATTTGAAAACGCCGGCTTTGAGTTTTAGTGTGGACGGAAAAACATTTTGAAAACGGAGCTTTTCTACAACGATAACGTCACGATAATCGTGTGATTATCTTGTCCAGGTTTTCCTCAGACACAAATCTAAAACGAGCGCCGGGTGATTGCTGCGTTTTAAATTCCTCCGACGTAGTGTGGACGGAAAAAAATTGATGCATTTTCAGAGTACAAACACCGTCTTCAAATTTCTCCGGCGTAGTGTGAACGGGACCTTAGTTTCGGTGTACTAAGTAAAGAGACTGATTTAAAATATTCACGTGGTACCCAGGCTCTCCACACTCACCACGTCACTCGCCACAGTGTATCTGCCTTGCTCCAAGCTTTCCACCGCCATCCATTTGACTGGTCTGTTTTCATTGTCACCAAGGCAACAGTAATCTTGAGGGAATAAGTCTCTTGATAATGCGCAGTCTGTTACTTTCACATTCAAGTCGTCATCAATGCTACGACATAAAAATCATACCATGCATTTCTCACAATATTTTCGATCATGTTTGACTGGTAATAGAACATTTGCTCAAACGTAGGAAACAGATTTAGCATCTAATTCTGTTGCCTGGCCTGGAAGATAGCTTCTCTGCTACGGTGTAACAAAATGCCTAAATCAAACGCTAATCCTATAACGCTACCTAACCAAATCCCACGAAGAAGCCCAACCCTTATATCTCTTGTTTAGGCATAAATAACACACTAAAAATTCTACTTCGCTAATCTTTTTTCCCCGAGGTCGCGATCCTTTTGGTTAAAACCAATTGCAAGGAATCGAGACCTCTGGGAGAAATCGGAAGGTAAGCCAGCATTAGTTACGGCGGTTACTCTCTCTGCGCACGTTCAGAAACCGTTATTGAACTTGAATGCGTGCGCATAATCAAAAGGAACCAGGATTTTCTGGTTCATGTTTTTTATTTCGTCTAGAGCGTCGCGCGTTCGGTCACCGCTGACCCAAAACGCGCGGGGTCTTGGGACGAGATTGCCAATTCGCATGAGGACAAATAAAGTAACGAAAGCTAAACCAAGCAGCTATGACTTGTCTGTTGCCCTACTTACACACAATTCCTTGCAGCTATATCCTTGTGCACAATTCTTCGTCTTGCTAAGTATTGAAGTCCTTTGGCGATTTGAATACCAACATGAACAAGATCTGCTGTCGTAAGTGACTAAACAAACGAGATAAGTGTAGCAGTTAGGCTTAGTGGAGTATTAATCCCATCAACGACAAACTCAAAGGTCGGAAGTCTGAGAAAGTTCATGAACACCTTAACGCGTGAACTGATTAGGTGTCCAACTTCCGAGATCCAAAACGTTCTAACAGGAAAACCACGAAATCGCGCTTCAATATTATGTAACAACAAAACACGGGTACAAAAAAATATTCTGACGCTATTGATTAATTAAATGATACAATTAAAGCAAATAACTAACTATATATGCCTATTTCTAGCCTGTTGCAGGCTTTCAGTCAGTGGGAACGATCGAAAAAAGCGGGCGGGCGACGATAATCCATACCATTCCCTCTCGCAGAAAATGATTCTCGATCCGGAATATGAGGAGTTTTAGGTGCCCGCAAGTTCGAGAGCGCGCTATAAGACCGTCTCATCACGTGGTGTTTCTTTCAACAAGGGCAGGGACAACCGCGGTGGCATGGGTCACAGTGACCTGAAGTAGGATGTAGTTTCCAATCCCCATGGAGGAAAGGAATTTTGAAGTGATCAGCCAAGTAATATCTCCTAAGCTTGAGAAGCGCCAATGTAATCTTACAAAAATGAGCCTTACCTTGGAACCACCTTCCGGAGATCTGGATTTCTTAATAAACAATTTTAGATTGCCTCTGTTCATGAATGGAAACATAACTAACGGTTGTTTCTCATCTTCCAAGCATACTGCCATAACAGGCAGAAGATTTCTGTGAGTTAAGTCCTTTAACATGGAACTTTCTATCAGTAACAGGTTCACTTGGTCCGCCGATGCCATTCCAGAGACAGTTTTCACCAAAACGCTTTGTTGTTGTTGACCTTCTCCGGGTCCAGTTAAAACACCATTATAAATACGAGCGAAAGTCCCTGTGACCAAGAAAAGAAACAGAGAGAGCACTGTGATACAAAGCTATACGAAAGAGACGACTTTTGCTAGTTTAATGTCTTTGTCAAATGATTCAATGTGTGGCCATAGTGGGCTTACGATTCTCCAGGCTCCTCTCTTTCGTTGGAGCTAGAAGCGCGTAGAGTTGTGGGCCTGTCGAAAAAGGGGACTTGGCGCAAGTTCGAGGCAGCGTTGAGGCGAGCGCGAGAAAGAATGCAGTATTTAAACCAGCTACCAATTGATACTTTCAAGAGCCTTTTCAGCCTCATATTTCGTTTATCGCTAGTATCACGCATCATATGAGCTTTTTGCTATTTCAACTGAACATAAACAACAGCCTGGGTATACTCCATGTTAACTGAAGTGGCAGTTTGGAGACGCACAGATCAGAGGCCAAGCTTTCCTGGAATTTCCATGGCGAAGGCAAACTTTCGAGAAGGATTCTGCCAGATTGCGTTTCACAGTTCTCGTTTATGGTAAGTCAACAATTTCGCCAGCTTCCAAAACTTAATAGTACCTTATAACTCAACATCCTCTCTCTAACTTCTGTAAAGTCACAATTTCCTTTAAATTAACAAGAACAGAAAAGCTTAATGTTGTAGCTTAGGATAAGTCTTGAAAGCCACAACATTCAAACAAGCTTCAGTTTGAGTTAAGACCAAAATTTATTAAAGGCCTTATTATTATAACTGAGAAAATTACTTTCAATTGTGATTGGTTGAGGGCAGGCCAATTTATCGTTTATTTTTAATTTGCAATGAGAGAATTTTCAAATATCACTTGTGGTGTAGATTGCACTTGCATTCATATGATTACCTATACATATTTGCTAACTCAAACTCCTGTTAACTTGAGATATGAGTTGTTTAGTGGATGTTATAAGCTAACAGAACTTACTCCTAAGCATTCAGAATCTCACCAGGGAAGAGAAATAATTTCCTATTGTTTGAAAGCAGCTCTAAAAGAGGTTTTCCCTCACCTTCTTCAAGCAGATCCCCTAAAGTGATCCTATCCATTTCCACCTCTAAGTCTTTTAACTCTGCTTTCATGTCCCTGTTGCCATATTTCCCCTTCTGCGTTGATTGCAGTCCCCCTGCACTGTAATATCCATCACTCGGGGTAATGCTAATAGTGCTGTCCCTGACGGGAAACCCTCCTGGTATCCTTGGCCTTACATGTGGTACATCTCCATTTAGAATTGTCAATACAGCAGGCATGTTTCTGGCTAGGCTATTTGCTGTTGGACCTGCCTGGATTTCAACCTTCACTGGAATGTGGTTTGCATTTGGAATGTAACCATTTTGAGCACAGTTGCTTCCATCTACAGGGGAGAAAAGGGTGAAAAGACAAAAAGAAACATTCTGACTGAAGAAACATGCTAGAAAACACTCTGAAGTTCTCTTCTCTCTACAACTAAAAAAGCCAAAAGAAAGGGAATCTTTTTTCTCGCAGCAAAGCAATTACCTTAAAACAAGATTGTACTAAGATTTTGACTGGTTAAACTTCTATAGTGTAGCATAATGTGGCAGCTTATTTTATTATTATTTCATTTTATTTTAGGATTCGTACAAGTACAGGTGCTTAACAATAGGACATAAGTCCCCTACTTGGTTAATACACCCACACCCAACCCCCTAAAAAATATCCCGAAAAAACCCTTCCCTGACCCGACTAAACTACAAATCAAATAATCTAAATAACACAAATACAATCTAAAATATACTAATCAACTTAACAAGTACAGACAAAGAAAATATTAACACGGCGACACTTAGGACAAATTAATTTAAAAGAACGAAAATTGTCACCATCAAAAACATTTAAAAGTCTAGGAAAATAAAATGACTTAAGTTTACTTTTAAAAGAGCTTATAGTGTCTGAATCCTTGATATTTTCAGGTAAACTGTTCCATATCAAAGTTATTCTGTTGAAGTAAAAGTCTCGGAAGGAAGACGTACGACAAGCGTTAGCTTATATGGTTGCAGATTAATTTAAAGGTTGGCACGTACGAGGGGACTAGTCGCTGCAACTAGTCCTGTGAAGAGTTTACACCAAGGGACTGTTAGCAGGGACTTCTCCCACGAACAGTTGACAGTGTTTTGAGGACCAAGTCACAGGGTCTTGTCCCAAAAATTAAAACCAGTGTGAATTGGTGGGACTAGTCGCAGGGACCAAATTTAAGTCCCTGCGACTAGATTTTGTGGTAAAAATGGCCAGTTCCTGTGACTAGTTGCAGGGACTAGTTGCAGGAAATAGTCCCTTCATGTGTGACGACCTCAAGATAAGCAGTGGCTTACTGACAAGCTATGGTTTATTTTCCTCATATTAATCGCCCTTGATGTACTCATTTATGAAAGCTTTTATTGGGTTATAAATTTTATTCGAGATGTACGTCCCTCTTGGAGCTGTTTTGACACAATGTACAAGGCATTTGATGCGCTCAGGTCTATAATAAATTATATGGTTCTTTAAACACAGTTTATAAGATTTTTATGCATATACATGTATGTCAGTATGTTGTAGTTCTTATACCTGCATTGACTGCTACTTGTTTTGGTTGCTCTGCTGCAGTGATAAGAGGTGTTTTGGACAAAGATTGCTGCCCTCCAGCAGCCTCAGACTCACTATGAATAATTAGAGATCAACAGAAATTTATTAACACAAGTCAAACATCAACAATAATTATTAATAATTAACAATTATTAATAAGGCAGGTAAGAGTTGTACTAGGCAAGCTTATGAGAACAACAATAACAAGGACAGACATTTCTTAGCCTGAATCATAAAAAAGACTCACAGTCACATATAACTTGTTGGTAGAAGTGGGCAGAGGGGGAGGGAGAAGTATTTTTTTAAAATAGAGAGTGAAGTATAATACATTTAAGCAAGCTACACTTGACAACAAAGCCATTCTCATCTGCCTATCACACAGGATTTAACATACTTGTTAAAATACACATATGCATTACATCATGAAGAAGCTAGATTTCAAAAGCTATAATTATGCTACTCCAATCAATAAGACCAAATGCCGCCAACCTTGCCCCATCTTTATTGCTGTTTGGATTTGGCATGGAATGGACGTGAATGGCGGCTACTGCAAGAGCAATGATAAAAATAATGCTACAAGCCACTCCTACTGCAATGTAGAACACCGTTGTTTTATCCATCGGGGAGATGGGTCGATTTGCTTCAGTGCCAGCTGAAAAAGGCAAAACAATCTCTTTTTATATAACGATACAGTTACTGACAAAACTTGATGTTAAACTGATGTTAAAATCTTTTAAAATCCCAATTTTTGCCAGTCCACAGTGAATACCCCTGATGATGCCATGGATCAGCAAAAGCTAAGTTGGATTTTGACAGATTTTAACATCAATTTCACAGTAGTTTCAGGCCTCATTTGAACTTTTGTCAGCATGGATCTCTGTGAGGGCTTTGTTACTAACATGTATAGAATTTCTCTGTTCATTAATTCCAGACACATCTCTGGCCCGCAGCTTGGAGGTCAAGAAGAGACATGCCTCCAAAAGATGCCCATTTTCCCAACCTTGCTTTACTCAAATTCAGACTGCTTCAATTCTCCAGGATTGCTCATTAAAGTTTCTTTGTGAGCAAGCTAGGAAATAGCCAGTTATTTAATTAAGGCAGCCCTGCAATAGTGTTTTTTATTTACTTTGTATAAAAGACAGGACTTCGGTAATCATAATTAAAATTAAGAGAAATCAGCTCTGGTTAGAGGGGAGAGGGAGTTTATTAGTTTGGCTCCTTTAGTACTATTAATTTGGCAGACAGAAGGTGCAAGCTGAACTGGTTTATGTAACAATTTTAGGAATGTAAAACATGATACCTACATTGAAAAACACTGAGTCAAAAATGTATTAATCCTCTATAAATTCCAGCAGCAACAATTATGAGTGAGTAATTATATAATTGTCAAACCAGTAAACTACAGCTAGATTCTACTTCACTACTAAAACAATTTCTAATTTTCTACAGCAAAATCTACAGTTTTAGTAAATTGCCTTCACACTAAAAATATTTATAGAAAGGTATATAAAAAGTTTTCCATCTGAATAAATACTTTAAAGCCATCCTGCCATCTAAAGAGGATTAATGTTTATCCGAGATTAAGCTTAATCCAAGGATTGAATATGCAGGGCCAAAATAATTCTAATTTTACATTCATTTTGTGCAGTAATAAATGAAGTTATTAAGGAAGAAGATTGGCAATTATTGTGCGTTACCCAAACAACAGCTCCATTCAAAAAATGTTGACTAATAAACTATTACAAGAAAAGAAATGTCCATGTAAATGACAGCACATATCTTCCAACTGTTGGATATCAGTTCAAGCAGAAGGTTACAATGGCATTACTGCATTATGTCTTATTTTAAAGCTGACTATTCTGGAGATTGTACTGCTCCGTGTTTAGGTTATACATATATTTTTACCTCTCTGTGGTGAAACTGTTGGCTTGGTAATACTTGTATGAACATGAGTAACTAAATACAGAAAAAAAAGAAGAAGAATGTATTGAAATGCAGCCAATAGGACACCGCCCCCCTAGTTTCTAACGACACTTCCTCTGGGATTCTCAACACAGGAGATCATCAGGAGGAGTGAGAGATCTTGACAACCATGTAAATCAAAGGCTGACAGAGATATGTCCATAGTTAAATATTGTTAAGCAAAATTTCAAATACCTTTTCTACATGATTTTATCCTTTGAAGATTTAACATGAACTGTCTTTCTTCTGAAGTTATGTTTATTTGGATTAACATGTGTGCTGTGCCATCCTTGGTTCCACTACAGGTCATATTTACACAGAATTCTGCAATGAAGAGATATTCAAGCAATTTAACTAAACAACAGCATGTTGTACATAATAAAATTATTCAAAATACAAATCTAATTTTTTTGATGCAGGAGCAAACATCCACAAGAAAAGATTACACAGGTTTGCTTAGGTGGCTGCTTTAAGTGTCCCAGAACGCGTCCGTTAAACAAATTAAGTGTTAAGTTTGAAAATTATCACTGGTATAGCTTGCCTATATTCATGCGAATACTATACATTTACTTGCTGGTTTCAAAATGCAAATTCAGTCTCCTTGCTAGCCTTTTTAAATATATTCAAAAAAGTATCTCAAATTTATGGAATAACGAGTCATCATTAAACAATAAAAATTGCAATATTGGTCTGTTGATTTTTTTGGGATAACTTTCTTTTTTATGTATAATAATGCCACTTATAGATCTCTTGGAACATCGTAAGTGCTTACTAATGGATTATTACATATTGAAAGATTAATTTATGCCAAAGAAAAACAATTCTGCAGCTTGCAGGTTTTGCAAGATAGTATTTGATAGCTAGGATGACCAGTTTGTTCAGTTTGTGACATGTTTGACTGGTTTTATGTTCTTTCTTGCCTGGTTCACTGGCTTGAATAATCACTGCCTTCAGGTCATGAAATAATCAAATCTGTTTATGGCCATTTATATTCCACCTTTGATGATAATTATACCACTGTTTACCGAAAATTTGAACTAATTTAGGACTTGTTTATATCAATGAACTTCTTTAATTAGTATTATCAATTTGTAAATTTACACAAGTTAACATGTTTATAGTTTTTAAACAAAAGGAAAAAAAGTGCTGTGAAGTTGTCTTATTGTCTTAAATTCTGATTCTTTCGACTGGGAATTCTAAGGGCAAAATCAAAGGTTAAGGATTGTTATTCCTAATCATACTTTTCTGGTACGCTCTGGTGGCATAACACATATCAGCTGAATTTGGTCAAGGCATGGTTGTATTTTGGCAAATGCAGTTAAGCCAAAGTACCAATGGTGAGACTAGATGAACCTGATTGATAAATGTATGTCACCAAATCATACCAAAAACGATTAGTTATTTAATGTATCCAAATTCTGTGATAAATATTTCAGGATATCAGTTCAGTAGACAAGGCTTCTGGTTGGCTAATCGAGTAAGTTTTAGTTAAGTTAAATTATGTAAGTTACTTTTTTTTGAACAAACACTGTCCAGTTAGTGGCTAAAAATAACACAAAGGGGGGTTAGGGAGAATGGGGGGGGGGNTCAGTGGGGAAGTTAAGTTAGTTGAGTAGAATGCAAACCTTGTGATATCAGATAAAAAAATCACCAGACCGTTTTAGGCAGGATAATTATCCTTTGTGGTCCATCAAGACAAAATTATATTGGCACATACATTAAAATCAGTTCCAAATAATGCTTGAACACTATGTGACAGACAACCAAAACAAGCTAAAATATGCCCAGGAAGGAAGTTTCAGAGAGAGCGTAATGTTCCAACGATTTTAATTGTTTTTCAGTGTTATTATTGCTCTTCAAGGTGTCATTAGCAATCGTTTTTTACGCTGCAAATATGTTCTGTATCTCGAAAGTAAACAGCACTTGATAACAACAAATAAAACTCAAGTTTCAACATTCGAAATGACACACATTTTTTCTCCACTTTTAAATTTATCTTCTCTTGTCCATGCCGGAATATCCGGAAAAGGAACACACGGTTACGGGAAACATCGAAAGTTGTGGTGCCAGATATCCAGTCCAACTATGTGATCAGTTTGATAAGCCAAATTGTGTTTTACAAATTGACGTTTTGGAGCGATGCAAGACAGCGCGTGTTTTCCCGAATGATGTTTTTCTGCAAATGTGATCTTAGGAGCTTTTAAAATTTTAAGAGAAGATGCATTATCTTACCAGATTTTTGATCAAACGTTCTCGTGAAGTTTGCTCCTTTGAGTGTAAATTACATTACATTAATCTGTGCACAGTTCCTTTTCCGCACGCCTTCATACTTATCGACGAAAATGAGGAAACAGTATACGTTTAAGAGCATTGGGTGAATTCTTTTCGATTGAAACCCCACGTAGTCAATGAATTTCTATATTTACGAGAAATCTGAAGCCTCGATCGAGTAATTTAGCCCCAAATGTACTTCGTGCCGTGGGCTAACTTTCTCGCACGCTTGGAACGTTTGATCGGGTAATCGAAGACCAACATTGTACCTTTCTTGGTTTCTGGAACAGGACCAAGTCGTTCTATGTTCACCTTTGGTTCAACCAGAAGATCGGGAGTAAATGATCTCAGTTCTAAAGTGTAGTAGTATCCCTAGGAGAGAAAAGGTCATCAATGATTTCCAACAAAGAAAACAATTCCGCTAAGGGTAATACAGGGCTATTGTAAACATGGCAATAAAACGAACAAGTTACAAAGTGTACAGTTTTAAACATAATTCGTCGTTCTCATTCATTTCATACACTTAGTGAATGAAGTTCCTTATGAAACGTGAAAGATCTAGGATTACGTAGAACACGGGTTTAGTTTCAAGCGAATCGACGGGCAAAATTAATGAAGACCGATGAAATAAACAAACTCACGCTATTGCTGTCGTGCAGAATGAAGTGTGCCGCAAGCCGACAAGCTTTATAGCCTTGAAATAAGGCTATCGAATGCTGCACGTACATAAATCCACTCGTTCAGGATTCTACGCAGCCAAGTTACTTACCATGGGCTTGGACGGTATCCGTTTAGAGTACCAAATAAATCGCAAACAATCCACTCGCGAAGGCACCGTCATGTTAAAGTTGACGGCGTTGAGTTTAACATGCCCGTCTCGTATGTAGTATATGTCACCCTCGATCCCTACGATAGAGAAACATAACAGCGAGGTTAATAAAATCTGTATCGTTTTGAAGCGTTTCTTGATCAATCGATCGATCTTGGATCAAGGCAACGAGGCAACCCACCGAGAATTTTCTTGGATTCAGTGCGATTTATGTACAAATTGAGTGAACATGAGGCTCTCAGGACGACCAGAAGCAAGAGTAATAGAAATAAAAGTAGACTGGAATGATTCATCTTTCTCTCGCATTGAGTTTGGACCGGGCACAGATAGCCCTAAGAATATTATTTCATGCTTGCGGCGATAAAGCTTGAGAGAGGCTTTGTTTGGGTGTTTGTGTTGGAACAAGGGCTCCCCAATAAAAGCTTTTGTTAGAGAGCCAATCAACTTCACTGATGTCAACAATTTCCGATTTTACGATGCACGATGCACGATGCACAATGCAGCTGCTTTAGTATTTTGTTTTCACTGCTATTGCTGAGAATTTGAAATTTTCGATATATTTCTCTATTCTGAAAATGCTCTTAACTTGTGAGCACTTTGAGCGCTTTGGTTGCGTTTCCAACGATCCGGATCAGGGTTTCCAACCTCGCTCCCGATCCCAGGGATCCTGGGAACGAGGTTGAACAGACCAGGAAAGTGAGCTCGGCTTTCCTCCTATGTTCCCGTGGGGGGACACTCTAAAGTTTTCGGTGGGATTTTGCGGCCCAACCTTGACTCCTTAAAACTTGTACCTTGTTTCAGACCAGAAATCTCTGATTCCCCATGTATACCCTATTTTAGACTTAACGTTGATGTATCCCGGGCCTTTTCAGGCCTCGAAAATTTAGTACACGGCTCCACATGATATGAAATGGAGCCAGCCAGACCTGGCTTCCATTTCATGTGTAAACATGGGAAGAGCTACAAATTTGCCCAATACCCAGTGCTGAGCCAGAGGGAAAACATTCCCTATTTCGGACCAAAATGGTCAAAAGTCTGACCTTTTTTCAGACCAAAATTGGGGCCGCACATACAAATAAGGGAGTACCATGTATCCGGCCCTTAAGCTCTTGCCCTGAGCTGCTCCATCACTATGTGCGGGACCTGAATCTGGAAACATTATGTTATTTCCCGAGTGACCCAACAAAGACGACAAACTCAGGCTGAAACGACACTACTGATTTATAGCGGAGCTCTGGCGTTCCGAAGGGCCCCCAAGCGGAGCCCCATACTCATATAGGAAAGAAAAGAAAACCCATGAATTGATTTTCTCATGGTTATCATGGCTAGCGGTATTACTCGTGAGAGCGTACGCACGACGAACGGTGACGACGACGATGACGATGGAGTCGCGCAAGATGGCGGCCATACTCCACCTGAAAGGTTGACAGAAACATACAACCCTGATTTATGGACGTTCGCGCGAAAATTTTCCAACATTGAATTTTTTCTGAGACTTTTACCACAATGAGATGATGAGTTAAATATAATGTAAAAAAGAAAAATGGGGGTCACCGTCTTCGTTTTAGAGAGAACATGCCCGGAAGAACACCCTAAATCTGAAAAAATTGGGCTTCGTTAGCGAATAAGGCACAGAGTCTGTAAGCCCAAAAATATTGTTTAAGTGGACCTATTAATTAAGTGAATTTAGTCAGCTGGTGAGGTTCCTAAAAGAACAAGTTCGCATTCAGATGGCAGGATTCGATGTCCCGAGGACAGAAATCTTGAAAATTTTTTACTTCCCACATTGATTTTTTGTTCATTTTTGGACAATGTGGAGATAATTGTAAATAAAATCTGTTTCTGGAAAGAAAATAGGAGTCACCGAACGTCCAAGGTCGTTAAATCCAGGCAAAGCTGTAGCAATGGCCATCTGCCCTATCATTGTTCATCAGTAGTACTTAGCGCGCGCACTCATGCATGACGTGGTGTGTGAATTTGCGTGCGCAGTAAGGATGCGCAGAAACAATTAGCGCGAATGTCCTTTAGTCTGGACGTCTAGTCTGGAGGGGGAGATGGGTAAAGGACTCGTTAAGCCACTGAACTGCCATTGTTTACAACCATTAGATTTATTTATCGAAAGGATTTCAGTGGTTTGTGTCCAATCAAAGGAAATTTAATTCCCTAAAACAATTTGTACACCCAAACAGTTCCTGACTGTTAAAAGAACGTAATGGACCACTTCAATGATATCACGATTTTCGAGGATTTTCATTCAAGCAAAAAACCAAGTCCCACCTTTTTTTTTTTCTCGTCAAAGCTCCACATATATTTTATCGTGCATAGATACGTCGTGTAAAAATCTTCTACATGTACCATCATGGATTCTTGTCTTACATCAAATCGCTTTGGCCGAAAGTCGAGCGATTTGATTTCGGGGCTTCGTGGGATCTTCGTTTCCTGGACCACGTGAGTCTGACACTTGTGGCAACGCCACGACTCCATCTCCCGTTTTCCCGCGCGTAAAAGCGCGGGAAAAAGTCAACATAATGTGATGCGGTCAAAAGCGAGATGAAAAATGTACCAGTATATTTAGAAACTAACGCCAAGGGAATTAAGAGGCAATTAGTGGTCTCTGAGGCAATACTTTGCCTGGTACGTAAATGATGCAATGAAAACTTAAATGCGCTGATTTGATACTTTACAAAACTTTTTATTAATTCCTTGCTATGCGCGAGAATTTCACACATTTGATAATCAAATTCAAAATTAACGACGCAGTTTCTTTTGTCCATGCGCACCTTTGCCAAATTTCATTTTCAAATTTTCTCAACCGACGTTTAGTTCAGTTCGAGCTGTATACACTTCGCGTCAGGTTTGTTGACTTTTACCAATGCGAGCAAAGCTTTAAAAGGATACAACGAGTTTTTGTTTGGACATTGAGCAAGATCGCCATTTCACGTGAGCAGGTTTCTCGAAGCCATGAGACTGAAAGCTCGCTTGACAAGATGGCAAGGCCTTCCTTCAAACGGTCTGATTCAAGCATTGCTGGGCTCTTTGGTTCAGTCACCACTTAGGCCGGACATTTCTGAACTGTACGGTACTAATCTTTTAGCGGCAACCAACAAACAGGATAAACGGTGCTGAACGATGTATTCCGCCTAGTAATTCCTTCTTCACCGGTCCACCGGTGAAACATTTAGATACAGTCACCATGTTGAAGTATACGGAGACAGAAAAGAGAGGCAGGGCAAGGGAAAAAGCCTTTTTAATTAGATGTAAGGTAAGAGTTTCTCATTCTATATAATCAGCAAATAGTTGAACTTTATGCAAGTACCATTTCTGGACATTTTACTGGTCATATGATGTTTAAAAAGGTTAAACAATCTCTTAAGAAAGTAATTCTCAGTGACTCGGCTCAACAACAACTCAGAGTGCCAGCAAAGACTCGATGATCAATTTTCCTAGAAAAACGTCTGACACCGGTACCGTGGAACAGTGATATGAAAATTATATTTAAATGCTTGAGTTAGAAATCGTCTTTTATCCGAGGAGATGACTCTCGCACATTTACCCTTACACTCCTCGTAAATGAGTTTTATAGACTTGCGAGCCAGCGAGCCATGCGAGCCAGCGAGCCATGCGAGCTAAAGGGCGAGCCAGTGCGAGCCATGCGAGCCATACGAGTCATACGAGTCATGCGAGCCCTAGAACGAATGTTAAGATTTTTTATTTGTTCTATTTATATTCACATGAGAACAAGAACAAGAGCAACGGAACAAAATGAATAAGATCGCAATATTAAATTCTAAGGGAAGAGACAACCACATGTAGCAGTCAGCCAACCGACAAAGTTTTGATAACTCTGATTCACTAAAGAGCGAACCTGTTAAAATTACGCAATTCACTCACCATTCTTGACGCCAATACACGGAGTTGTCCTGAAGTATTGTTCTCTTTTTTCTTGAATGATTTTCAACGTGGATATCAATGTATGACAGTTGCCAATGGATACCATTCACTTACCCATTCGAGTAGCGGTGGGACGGTGGAGGCGTACGTTTCTCTCAGAAAATTTTCTTTACTTTAGTCTTGAACCTCCGTCATCTCCGCTTTCAAGATGGCGGGCGGGCGGTTTATAGCGATAGTTTAGTGTTAGTCGGGCGCGAGATCTATGTTTCTTGGTGAAAAGTCGACGACCTCCCAGACCAATTGAAAAAAAAAAAAATACTCGCAAAAATGGCTCGCACCGTGGCTCGCAGATTTAGCAGACCCGGCTTGTAAATAAGTTTCATCAGTTTTCATAGCAATTCTTTGTGATATGACACGAAGAGACCGAAGACAACATGTAATTATAAAACGTTTAAATTGAGTTTTCCTTTGTGAATTATTACATGTAATCTAATCACCTATTTTTCTCTAGATTAGTCCTTGAAGCGCTGATTATTATGTAGTACGTACATCACATGTATATTGGTGTCGCAACAGTCTACTGATCATAAGCCTGGTGCAGTTGTGACTTATAAGAATCCATTCTATGGAAAAACTGGAGTGATTTCTGGCCGGAGAAATGTCTAGAAGAGATCGGAATGTAAGGAAACAGGAAATTTGAGAAAACCAAGTGGGAAGGCAAGCGGAAAAGTTTTGCTAGAGAACAACCCGGCTGTGATCAATTCTGGTAACGAAAGGATGAGTAAATATATAACATAGGTATCGACTTGTTTTTGGAAAAATCCGAGATCAGTGCTAAAATGACCTAATGAAACGGCCACTTTGAAATCGGAATGATCGCAGACGGCAATCACGTATTCCTAAGCTAGGTGGAGGGTTTTGCGCGCTCCTCTTCGTGCTTGTTTCACTTTCACGTCCAGAGGAGTGATTGCAGTCGAGAAGTCGACTAGGCCTTCCGTGCCGCGTAATTCAGAACCTATCCTGTTGGACACAGCACGCAGGTATCATGACTACCACGCGACAATCTACTGGAAACATGAGTCTGGATAGAGTGTCGGAATAGGATGGGTGATCTCTGGTCGGGCCTGTAACTCGCCCCAGCGCTTCTGGCTCATATGGATCCTCCGAGGACTGTGTCTGTATTCAAGTTGGGATTGCAGGTTGTCGTTTTTTGTTTGTTTATTTGTTTGTTATTTATTTATTTATTTTTTTTGCAGTCAAAATTCTAAAAGAATGAATAAACACATGATCTGAGTTTCTCGAGAGCGAGTTGTACTTCTCAATAACTTGTTCAGGAAGGAAGAAATGTGGACACAATATCACATTGTACGATCGAGCACGAATTGGCATGCACTGCATGAAGAAGAAATATTTAGTTGTTGGGTAAATCGAGAATGAAAAGAACTTCTTCATGAAAAGAAAATTAATGGATAGTGCTGGAGTTGCGCTAAAATTTGTGGGGTTGTAGTTAAGTTACTAATTATTTTCTTTTGTTGTTTC